CTCATCTTACTCTTGTAAGCTACAGAAATGAAGCCAGGACCTTTCTATATGTTTTCTGCTAAGTAGCAGTTTCAGATGCAGTCAATCAAGTCCTTGAGATGCCAGACACTAGAATTCCCAAGATATAATACAGTTATACTACTGATCATGCCTTCTGGAACAGCTTAGAAATATGGTACCAGATGTGTACATGCAGTATGCTACTTCCTACACAGTTCTTTTGACTGACAAGGCCAGAGTTGTTGTGTTACCAGTGTTTGGTGCAAGTGGCAGTGGATGACTGTACTGTTCCTTATGAAGGTCACCCACCAGCTTCCAACTGCTCCCCTGATGTGTCACATGATATACCAGCAGCATCTTTTTGATGTCTTCTGAGTTTCATTGAATAGTACCATATTCTGAAAAAGCAAGAAGTAGGATGGCAAAATGGGTGAGCTACTGTGCATGCACCTGTGGGAGGGAGAGGGGAGACCCTCGAACAATAACAGCTGGGGGGATCAACACCAAACTATGGGAGATGGTAGGGAACCATATACATACATGGAGAAAAATGAACCACACCATTTAGAACACCCAATCCAGAGCTATACCCAAAGTTGCCTCACCACCCTCTGGGTACGAAAGCAGGCATATCTCGATAATTGCTGCACAAAACTGGATGACCAAGGCATCCCCAGGAAGGGTTAAGTGAGGAGGACGAACTGCCCAAAAAGCAAAAGGACCAGCAGAGAAACATGTGAGATATGATCTCAAGCCCTCAAAGATGGGGAGAGGAGAGTTGCCTGAATGACAATGGTTGGGGAGATCAACACAAGACACTAGGAGATGGTTGGGAACATCTAGATGATGCAGAGAAAAGGAAACTGCAGTGGCTTGACCACCCAGTCACAAGGTATGCACAAAAGCATCACACAGCACTCAAAACACAAAAACAGACATATCTCTCATCAGGAAGTGAAAAAATGGTTTAAACCTGTTTAAACCCATCACTGACTGGTCATGACTGCGATTCTGTCATTCCCCACTTCTCTGATGCTGTAACAACCACATGCAATTGGATGAATGAGGCATCCCTGGGGAGGGACAAGCAAGGGAAATGAACAACCCAAGAAGCAAGAGAAACAGCACAGCAACATGTGAGATACAATGATGAGACCTCAGGGGTGGACCTTCCCATAAAAATGCAAATAACTCTGGAACTGCTTAACACATGAGGAAGATCCTATGATCAACAGGAAGCTATTGTTGAGTACTATGTTAGATTTGGCAAGTTGTACATAGTCCTTTCTGAATGCATCCACTCCAAGACATGAGAATTACTTTCCATTTTAAGGCTTTCACACTTTACATTACTGTTAACTGTGCAATTAACTTTCATGCCCTTGTGCTTATTGAATTCATTGTGTCTTGCACTTATGTACACATTTCTCATTACTTACAAAGAATGTAGCACATCTCACAACAAGACCACCCTTGTCATGTAAAACTCCAGGTTCAACACCCAAGCATTTCAGCATTGTTACACTTAGAGATATATAGCTTCATACTGTACCTTTGTCACCTCAGATGTTGTTGCTACTTGTGTGCAACTGAGATTATTTCATATAGGTAAATCTATTAGATGTTGTTGCTACTTGTGCACAACTGAGATTGTTTCAGATAGATATATCTGTAATACTACCATCCTGCAAAAAAGCGAGAGACATGACACACCTTACATCTATTATATTTATGGCACACATATGGAGTATGATGCTGCATCTGTAACATTAAACAAACAAAAATAAAACAGCTGATTGTGTGACTTTTGCAGTAATGTGCAGAGAATTTGCAGGTGGCTGTGCCCACAGCTACTGACTAAGCAGGGCACATGCATGGGGGAGCGAGTGAGTCAGGGCTACACACACTCCTTGCCCGTTCCTTGGGACTCGTTTCGATGCTACTGTACATAACCCATGTAATTATGGGTATTTTACCAAGAAATGGGCCCAAATTCACTAGGCCAGTGATGACTTGTGGCACGGAGTGCAGTCACATGAATTTGCAGGTGGCGATGCCGTGGGAATTTCCCGAAGGAGCAATCCTGCCACCAGGTGGGAGGGGCAGGGGAGGGGGTCGAGTGTTCGAGTGGGCCCTGTGGGGCATCACGGCCTCGTGGATTGGGCAGGATGACTGGGGAGGGTGCCAACGAACTGTGTTCACATCCTGCCTATGTTTATCTATTTTATCTGCCCTCCTAGCTAGTGCAAAGTGGTACAAGGTGGCTGTGTTAAAAATTATGCAGGGGTAGTATAAAAAGTTGCGCAGGAGCAGTGCTGCAAAAGTCGCGCATTCAGCTGTTTTATTTTTGTTTGTTGAATGTTACAGATGCAGCGTCATAATGGAGTGCATCACCGGTATTACTAGTTTTTTTACTGCCTCGTCCACACTTGCAATTCCAGCATTCCTAATTTGGGCAAACGCCGGCATGTCACGTGATATGTCGGGGGGGGGGAGGGCGGTTGAGCTGGGACAGCTGTCACCCACCGACTGGGTGCACAAGTCAAGGATAGTGACTGATCCCTAGACAAGATTGCAGAGCCGTTGGAAAGGAGGATGGACGTTTGAACTCCGTGAACGAATGGTTGCTGCCATCAATGAACAATGGAGGTGGTTTAGGGATGCCCAGTAGTCATATGGGATGACCATACCGCTGACATGAAGGTTATCGGGCTCCGCCTCGCTCCTGATGTCATCTCCTCGACCCAACCTGAACAATTACTGCCAATCCATATATCAATTCGCCCGGAAGTCGAACGAGCTAGCGGACTATATAATGACCTATCCACTTGTCAAGATTCTGCCCTTCGTGGCCCTATGGCATTGTGGCTCCTCATCATCCTAGCATCTGCCTCTCGCTCGGACGCTTCAACTCTGCTAGAACCGGCGGACGCTCTCCTTAGATTCGCCACCCTTCTGCCAGATTCGTCGCCCTTCCCAACACCTCTTGCAACGTTGCTACTAATTCAAACTCTCCAATTTTATAGGGTCTTGATGTCCTGCAGGCTGTACTCTCATATCGCAACATCAGCCTCGCTTTACTTCTCCAATTTTGCTCCATGCGTTCTATCACCGCCGTCGACTATGTGTATTAAAAAACATACATACAATTTCAATTTGACCTATCGACCATGACAGGTTCCTCCTGAAGGCGCTGGTGGACGTAGTCCCCTGCAGCGACGGGTTCGTACTTGGGCGGCCTCTCAGGGGATACACAACTCGGCATGGGCTGGGCGGGGTCATTGATCTGGGTGCCGTAGCGACAATCAAGGCTAACTTACCTTGATCTGGACGTGGTAATCCGTGCCGAAGAACAAAGGAATGGAATATCGGCGAACGCCACTCCCTGTTGATCGCTCTATGCACGATCGACCTACACACGTCGTCTTCCAGGGGAGCGCATGAGACAGGAATCAGAGTGTATCCCCGGATTGACACTCACTCGTCCATCGTGCAAGCTGGTCACCGATACTAGTTGCAATCAGTCAGATCATTCAGATGTCATTCAATCCTCAACGCACTTGATAACAAGCGTTCTGGGGATCGGTGGTGCCATTACCCATTGCTTCTCGGAGTTCAGTAGTTGAAGAGCCTGAATATCGGATTCTTGCCATAAGATGGTGAAACACTGAATGACATTTTAGTCGGGATTCTAAATGCTTCGATGAAAACTCCGACCTCGAAGCTGTGACGAGGTTTGTTAGGGCATATTCAAGGGTATACGTAGGATTTTTACTCTGAGTGGGCACTGACTCCAACGATACCTTCATCTTCGGGATTCGTTTGAGGTTGATAATGAACGGTCCGCATGATTGCGGCAGAATTTCTGGTCTGGAACCGTCATTAAGCGAAGATAACCGGATGCGTAGGAACCCCTGTACCTTGTCATCAAAGTATGTTTCAGGGAGATGCAATGCAATGGCCAATAAGCGGAACAGGACCCTTCCGACACCTACAGCTGCATGGCTAAATCACGGGAAGGAATGAGGGGCACTCGAACGGTATGTCAGAATGGACCGCACTAGTAATTGAGGCAGGCTTCCCAGAGGCCAGACATTTGCACCAGCCATGGCACCATAATTCACTCGCTTTTCGTCCTTCTCTTTCGGCACCAATTCTTCCCAGCCGATTGCGAAGCCTTCGTGCAGGATCACCTCTGTTGGCTGGGTCGGCGTTAGAGCCCAACAAAGGTTCGAAATTCCCAACTGCTTTGTGATAGAGCTTCTCCGGATGAGGCAAAGATCAGATGATGTGGAGACGGTAGGCTTACCTTCATCTTCGTCTCGAGTGGGAGAGAAAAGTAAACTTTCATGGCCGAAAGGACCTCGTCGATGATCTCCTGGGGAATATCATGGTTGCTAACTACAAATAGCTCGTTGGAAGATCATAGATGTTAAGACAAGAGGCCTACTATAGAAGAACCCAACATTTATGCAAGCATCCCTAATCTGCCGAGCCAACACAACCCGTTCCCCAGGTGTCGACGCATGCCCTATATCGCTGACCGATGAGTGAGTTTAGTTAGTACTGAGGGATGTAGAGAGCTTCGCACATAATGGGTTTGCTGTCGAAGGCGCCACTTACCGAGGCCACAGTTTCTGCCAGAGACATCTTAGGACTCACTCACGGGGATAGCCTTACGACCCACCCTCGGTATAAGTACGCAAACATTTATCTGATAAGAAACGCCTGAGTTGACGACCTGGAACCTTATAGAACTTAGGCTTAACCAACTTCAGCGGCGCAAAGGTCCTCCACGACGACGAAATGAGCGTTCCAACCTCGAAAGAAGGTCGATTTGTCATTGATTACGGACCACTTAGAAAACGTCGGAAGAGGGTGATAAGTTTGAAACCCGTGTCAAGGGTGTTGGACCCAACGAATGCCTGACATCATCTCAACGCCAACCAATATCCTCGGGCGTTGGAAAAAGGTTCATGCACGTGAATGGGCAACCTTTACTGATGCAACTTCTAATTTAAACTTCGGTCAAGTTTGTGGAGGCACCTTACAAAGCATCTCGGTACCTATCATCCAGGAACCTGCTCGACAAGACTGAGAGCATGTGGTTCGGCTAACTGTGTCTAAAACCACTTAGATGTCTAGTCACCCCAAGGTGGCATTTCGGTGATACGTTTCGTTCAGGCGCTTCCGAACGTGCTCCCCTGCAAAAATAGGCCCGTACTTGGGTGGTTTCTCGGAGGATATACAACTTGGTATGGGCTGAAAGAGGCAGTTAATCTATATACCATAGCAAGAATACAGGCCAACATACCTCGACCCGGACACGGGGATCGATACCAACGAACATGGCAACGGAATATCTACGGACCCCAGACTTGTTGATCACTCTATGTACGGTCGACCTGAACACGTCGTCTTTCAGGGGGGCGTTTTAAAATGTATTCAGTACGTATGCTTGGAATGGAAGCTCACTCGTCCATCGTGCAAGCAGGTCACCGATGCTAGGAGCAATCAGTCAAGTGATTGAGATACGTCTTCGATCTGATGCGTACTTGATAACCAGCGTTCCGGGGATCGGCGGTGCATTTATCCACTGCTTGTCCGAGTTTAGCACCTGAAGAGCTTGAATTCCAGGCTCCTGCCATAAGATGGTAAAACACTGCATGCTATTTCAGTCCGGCATTCACAAAGCTAATCGCGTCGATGAGAATCCCAACCTCGAAGCTATGAGGAGGTTTGTCAGGGTATATCCAAGGGTGCAAGGGAGATGATTACTCTGAATGGGCATTAATACCAAAGGCGTAATCGTCTTCGCAACCAGTTTGAGGGGGATAATGGTGGCCCCGCATCGTTGGGGGATTCTCGTTCTAGAAATAGTCGGTAAAGACAATGAGATTATGGCAAGGGTTATACCTTGTCATCAAAGTATGTTTCAGGGAGATCCAATGCAAGGGCAAAGAGGCGGAATAGGACGTTTCTAACACCTACAGCTGCGTGGCTTTACCACAAAACGGGATGAATTGCGCTGCCACCGCCGGTATGCCATCATGCAACGTACTAGTAATTAACAAACGCTTCACGGAACCTGGCGGGTTCCGAGGGCCATATGTTCGGAATAGTCGTGGTATTGGCATCCGCTTCCTTGTCATCATCTTCCTCGAATACCTGTTCTTCCCAACCGATTACGAAACCTTCGAACAGATCGCCTTTGTTCTCTGAGTCGATGTTGGAGTCTAACACAGGCGCATATCCTCTGTAATTTGCGCCTTCTCTGTGGTAGAGCTTTTGGGCATAAGGCGAAGATTGAGGTGAGGCGAAGACAGTGCGCCTACCTTCATCTTCGTCTCGATTGGGAGAGAAAAGTAAGCTTTCAAGGCCGAAAGGACCCTGTCGATTATCTCTTCTGGTATACCATGATTTCTAACTGCAAATAGACCGTTTGTAAATGACCGGTATCAAGTCAGGAGAGTCTGTCCCCACCGTAGAAGAATCCGACATTCATGCAGGCATCCCTTATCTGCAGAGCAGACGCAGCCCGTTCCTCAGGCGTTGATGCATGACCTATATTTCTGCCTAACAAGTTAGGCTGATTGCGAGGCGTGGTAGAAGGCAACGACGCACACAATGGGTATACTGTCGAATACACCGTTAAGAGAGGCCGCTTTTTCTACCAGAGACATCTTGCTCTCACACACGGGAACGATGGCTTGTTACAATGTCACTCATCCCCTGTATAAGTATACGGCGCCTATCTGATAACGAAACGCAAGTGAACTTTATTATGAGCGACTATGTATGTAGTACGCCTGCACGAGGATCAGGTTCCAAAGCAAGCTCGCCAGACACATGAACACTTACAATAAGACTTGTAGGAAATGCTGGCCCCAACGAATACTTAGTGTTTTGGCAGTGAGGATGTGATTGGCATGATCTCGTTCGGTGTTCAAGCGCCCAAGCATGGTAGCCCTGGGAGCACCCTGCCTGCTGTAAATTGGGTGATGTCGGCTGTCGGGTATAAACCACCCCTGATGCGCTTACATAAGGAAATTGGTTTGTGGGTACAGTCGGGGACAAGCAAAGCCCACCAATTTAGTAATGGCACGAGGAGAAAATTTTACACCAAACTAATGGCAGATTTGGAACCAGCGAGTGAAAATACATCCAAAAAGATACTTGCTGAGTTTCTCCCATGATATTTTTTGGCTGCCAAATTTTTCAGATTTTTGAGTGAAAATATCTATATGCCTAGGGGCCAGATTGCCAAATTTGGGTATATACACTACAGATTAAGGACTGCCTTAATGGCCATCATCACTCATTGTGATAGTTTTTGCTTTTGTACTGCCCACTCTGCAGCTTGTCCTGTAAGTCCCAGTCTTCAAGCACTCAAAATTTGGTGTGAATAGTGCAACTCAAAGTTGCCAGAGGTTTGGCTGTGGAGTCGGGAGTTTGTCAGGTGTTTGATGTGAGTTTTCAGCTGAGGATGGCAGAATTCAAACTCCAACCACTCTCTGCTTCACTCTCCTTGATCATCATCAACAGCCTGTCATCCATGGAGTCTGATTCCTCTGGTCCCCCCCAGCAGTGCAACCCTTCAAATTGGCAACAAAAGTAGCAGTCCCTCAAGTTCTCTGGGAGAAATCCTATACTGTGTGGACCGATCGTCTTATTGAGTGGTGCAGGACCCATGAATCAGAATGAAAGAAGCTCTTCTCAGACTCTACACAAGATGCTTGGGAGGAAGGTAGGAGCAAGCACCAATTGTGACATGGGAAGGGTGCCATATATGTTGAGATCACAAAGGTGATCTTCTCAGTCAGTGATGAGACACCTGAATTTCAGGCCCTTGCTCAAGACAACCCATCTGTCTTCACTGCTCCTATCTGCAGTCAACTTGAAGTGTAAGTGCTTTTTTTTGGAATCAAAAAACTACCACTTAAAAATTTTACAGTTTAAAAACCAAGTATTGAAAACAGAATGTGCTACTTGGGCAGACAGGTGCTGGATGTACCTATGAGGATCTGGTAGACAGCAGCAGCATGAAAAACATCATTGGTATGTAGACTTTTTTTTCACATCTGTCACTTTACTAATCATTATCAGCAATGATCGAGAAGGAATTTCCATGGTGGGGGGAATTGCATGGATGGTGGCACACAAACCCTGCCTACAATAGCACCTGGAGTGCAGCTGATAGTGGGCAGGGATTCATGAGGCATGTGGTCAAGCTGTTCAAGCTGTAGCCAGACCCATTAGGTGGGGATCCCAGTTTTTCCTTGGTGGGTGTGCCAAATTCACCTGAGCTCAAAGAAGGTGAAATAGGAGAGGGTAGTGGTACTACTGACTTTTTTTTTGCAGAAGATTTGATGAGTGTGGATGTTGAGATGCCATTGCTTATGATCCAACCCCCCCCATTCTGTTCTGAGTGGGGGTCATTGTCATCTGCAGCCCCACTGCTCCCTCCCTTCAGATCATCATCACTATCTGCTGCCCCCTCACCTGCACTATTTTTTTCTGAGTTGACATTAGCCTCCCCATCCCCCCTCCCATTTTTTCTCAAAAGCCTGCACCATCACCCCTTCCTCCTGTTGCATCTGAGTGCTTGTCACTTGTCCCATCACTGTCCTCCATGCCTGGGTCACCTGCCATCCTGTCCCCCCACCCCCCTGTTTTTAACAAGGGCAATCCTATCAGCTTGAATGATGATCCCCCCTTCCCATTCATATCCCCCCATCTGAAACTCCAGCCCACACATCCATTCCTTGAACAGGACCAAGCCCTTCTTAAACCCAGGTCAGCATCCACCCCAAATACAGATGACTCTTCTGATTCTGACATCACATCCTCCAACATGTTTTCTATGCTCTGTTTCTCATCTTCTTCCCCTCCCACTACCACTCTGCTCTTGGATGACAGTGATTCAAAGCTGTCATCAAAGTCATCCTGGAAGTGTGCTTGTGAAATGCCTGCTGACTGACTCTCCTTGAATCTTGCATCTGCCTTGATGAGTTTTGTACAGCAGTTCCAACAGGCACAACAAGAAAGGTCAGAGGCAAAATGTCACCATCTCCAGTATGGCTACTGGAAGGAGAATGAGAAGGCCAACAGCTCCCTGGCTGAATGTCAGCACCAGCTTGCAATGCAGCATGAGCAGTATGCCAATGAGGAAGCTATGGTGGCTCAGGAGCTAGAGAAGATGAAACTCACAGTGAAGTTGGAAGAGCTTCAGGGGCAGAACCTAGCCCTGCAGAAGCGTGTAGCTGGTGGTGGGGACCAAGGCCCTTTGTCAACTAATGAAGATGTTCACAAACTCAACAACAGTTTATGACCACATTCTTATCATCATCTAGTATGTATCCCCCTTCCCCCCTGCTTATATACATGCTGTGCAACATATCCCCCCCCCATATACACTGTACAACATATCCCCCCCTCCCCCTATATATGCACACTACATGGTCATGTAGTAGCTAGGCATATAACATGTTGTCATTCCCACTCCATTGACTTTGAGAAAACAAGATATGCTAGATATCTCTATTGATAAGCATTTTCAGCAGAGTTTTAAATAGCATTGTCTACCTCTCTACCATTTCTGCACCACACACTCTTGTCTGCAGAGGTTTAATATATAGTTGGAACTTAAATACTTAACCCACAAACTCACTGAACTTGCAACTCAACCTCACTTGAGTTTGCTCATGTGTTTCAACTTTGAGTGACCCTAATGGATGATAAAGTGCCAGATGACTTTAACAAGACATGAACTGAGGATGTCCATTGTAGCTTCTTTCACTGTAGCAATGTTTGGTTTTGTTGACTGCCAGTAATAATTAGTAAGAATATTCAAAACTCAATTGGATTCAGTCTGCAGTGGAATTTTGGCAAGAACAAGCAAATATGCCCAATGTTTGCTTTTTTTTTTGAAGTGGCACCATGACCCATGACAACTCTCCATTCCAGGAATGTGTTCAGTTCAGTAAAAGGAGTTAAATGCATATTGTTTGGTATTTTTAGCTATTTTCTTTTTGGCACACCAATTTTTGGACACTAGTTGACATCAAGGGCACATTTTCAAGAGAATTGGCTTGTGAAAAAATGATGAACTAAGCCTAAATAAGCAATTTAAGTGATTTAGGTACATCTCTGTTGCATGTGTAATCCAGGAAAAATCAGACAAGTTTTTTGATGTGTTTGCTTGTCCCCAACTGTACTTCATGGTGTAGGAAGTTTAAGGAAGTTTATGAACTTACATACATCCAGTTATCATCACTTTCATGTGATTAATCTGCTTGTACCACTTATACCAGCATGTCATAATGACTCTATTGATATTCTATAACATTCCATGACCATTCTTTACTTAGTATAGCAGGAGAAAACTCCTTATGGTAGTTTTATGATACTCAGTGCTACTTGGTCCATGCACTGACTTTCATGTATATATACTTGAGACCTGGGGAGCTATACCCTCAGACTGAAATTGACTTCTCATTGATGTCATCAGCTCTACTCACTACTGAACCTTCTTCAAGCCAATCACCCTTCTGCTATAAAGGCAAGTGTTCTGTCTTGCCTATCTCCATGATTAGTCCTCTGTGCAATAGGTTATGAGCCCTGACTTCTATTCAGATATCTCATTGTCTAAAGGACATTTGTTTCACTGGTGATGACTATAAACAATGCCTTTGGATGGCCTAGAAGCACTTGGTTGGGTGATGGCAACTTTTGTCATTTCACTTCTATGCAGGTTTTATCAAGCAGTTTATTTCATGTGGTTCAGTATCATTACCAATTTCCACTCTGCCTTCATTGCCTCTGCTCTTTATTGGGCAATGGCTTTGGGTGTTCTGACATGGTACCAGGTATATCAAAATTGGCTTCCCTATCAAATCTGACAACTCCAAGAAGAAAAACAATGTCTTGCCAAGGTTCTAGACCTAATTGGCATGTATCAACATGTTCAAAATCTCTGCCAACTTCTTCCTCTGGAAATTCCCAAGCAAATTGTGGAACTTCCTGATGGCATTCCAGAGCTCCCTAGGCATGAGGTGCCAGTGATATTTTTAAATCTGCCAGAACAACCACCACATTATTTGCCTCATGCTATTCCTGATCAAGATGATGATGTGGATCTTGATCCAGTTCTGCCTTATATGGAACAAGAGGAACCCATTGCTCTGCCTTCTACCATGTGGATGCCCACTCCCAAACCAGAAATGGTTCAGGAAGTCTATGATGCTCTTGCCACTGCTGAGGCAGTTGCCACAGAGATTGAACTTGCCAATATAAACACTGCAGAGTTTGAACTGTTATTTTAGGCCCTGTTTGGAATGCCAGTTGAAAAATTTTGAGAAAAAAAAAGATATGGAAAATTTCTCTCATGGTGTCATGTGACATAGGTTGTGGGAACATGATTATGTAACCTTGTCCTGTTCATCACTCCCCTGGGAGTCCTATGCAGTGAGCCACCTGACATGTCTGATTCATCCAGCAATGGATCTAGGCAATCTCTTCACTCGAGTGGCCCAGTGGATCCTACCATTCTGCAGAATGCTGGTAAAAGACCTACCTGCACACAAAGCTGTCTCTGGAACATGGAGGAGGAGATTGCTCTCCTTGAATTCTTACTCAAGTCTTTGCCTCATGCCAGCAATGGAGGGTTCAAGGACACAGTTTTTGAGGCAGCAGCAGCTCATTTGAGAGCCAAGTTTCCAGTGTACAGAGGTGTGCCAAAGCATACATCAGCATGCAAAAGCAAGTACCATGGGGATGTGAGTAGTGTCTTATTATTATCTTGCTGTCTGATGTCTTTGTAGCTCAAAAGGACATATGCTCTTGTGAATGATCTCAGGAGTGCATCAGGTTGGACTGGTCAGATGAGCATGGTTGTGGAATTACAGATGACAATGATTCTTGGTGGCTTGCATGGGTGCAGGTATTGATTGCTCTTATCTACTGCAATCACACATGCTTACCATAATTGTAGGCTAATCACAAAGTAGAGAAGTTCAAGAACACTGGGTGGCCTCACCTCCATCTCATGGACCAGCTCTCACCTGGAACAGAGAAGGGCAAATATGTCATCCATCCTCCAAGGGGAAAATCCAAGAAAAAAACAGATACACCCACCCCCAGCACCCAGTTGACTTCCAATCAGGTGGCATCAACTTCACTTTCTCCCTTTGTGATTCCTCAAACTCCCAACACACCAGCATCAAGTTCCCCCACCCCCTTGCTCCCCTCCACATTCCTTGCACCTTCCACAGTCTCCAGTAGCTCCTTGGCACTGACCAGTGTCAGTTGTGGAAAACACAAGATGGTGGACAGTGCAGGCTCTGATGCTGGGTCAGTGTCCAAGTCTCACCTGCTCAGTGAACAGGCAAAGATGCAGATGGAAGGCCAAGATGCATTGCAACAAATGGTGCAAAGTCTCAGTGGCCTTGCTATGAGCCCCATGCCCTCTGTGCCAGTAAAGACAGCTGCTGAACAAAGTATGGAGTGGCAATGCTTATTATTAATGCCCTTGATATGCCTCAGCAGGATCACTTCAAGATACTTGACTACCTTGCTGCTCCTGGCAATGCAAACCAACTTATTATCTTCAACAAACTTGAGGAGAACATGTGCATTGGTGTCACACACCAAAGGCGTTTGGTGAGGTGGACATGGATACAGCTGATGAATGGAGATGAAGACCATAGCCCTCATGTGAAGAAGGACAGCCAGGAATGTTGGCAGTCATCCCTCGCACAAGAACAGGTCATCAGTGCCAGAGAAAAAGAAAGGGAGCAGGTTAAGTGCTGGCTAAAATTCTTAAGTGCCCATGTACAGCATTCCAGTTTTTGACATATCTCCACCATTTCTGCAGATACCAAGACCATTCCCACACTCACTTGTAGTGCTCAGCCATGTGATCTTACCTTCCAAAATTGGAAAGGATTTGCACACTCCACATGTTTCTACAGCACTCCCTCCAAAAGATGCTCATTTTGCTAAATTCTTCTGATATGGCTGCCTCTACATCAATCATTTCACTTGTCCCCTTTGCTAGGGACCATGGCTACATATATCTACCAGGAGTTCCTACCAGCTTCTGTCCTGAAGCATCCTGGTACATCCCACCCTTGTCTGTGCCCTCTCAGCCCATCCAGCTTGGACAGCATGTTCTTTTTGTCAGTATGACCTCTAGGAGGACGTTCTTTGGTCACCTCAGGTCTGTCATTCACTTGGAAAGGTCTTATGTGGTCATTTCAGTCTCTCTGGTCCAAGAAGCATATGGATCCTTCCTCCCTGCTCCCTGCAATGTCTTCATACCAGTCTCATCCATCATTCTTCCAAGATTGCAACAGCTACAGTATAATCTACTGTTCTCCACTCTCCCTGATTGCATCCATGACAAGTATGATGCACATCTTGCCTCCTTGTTGCAAGATACAGCAGAAGACACTCTCCCTTCATCCTCTCTTCCAACAGAGCCTCGTTCATGGGGTTTTTGTTTGCTTCACTGAGAGGATGGTTTGGGGGGGAAAGTTGTGATCCCCTATGCTCCTGTCACCCCACAGACCCCCAAAGCTTGACCCCTGTTGACATCTGACTCACCCTGTCCACTTTTGGATGTACTATATTGGCATCAGATCAGTGCTGCCTCTCTGTCATCCCACCTTGGCCTAGAAGTGATCTCTTTGAGATGTGACATGCACAGCCTCCCCCTAATGCAATTCCAGTGTGTTTTCCCAGTTCCTGACATTACTTGACTCATACTTTGACATTTCTGACTGTCTTTGACTCACCTATTACCAATACTTACCAATCTTTTGACTTTGCTTACTGATTCTTTGCCTTTTGGCTTGCTTATGCTTACCAATGCTTACCAATGCTTTCCAAGACAATTACCCATCGCTTACATTCCTTACTCATCAGTTACCAATCACTTACCAAGTGTTTGCACCTTGTTTTCCAAGGGAAACACCCCTGTACTGTATATAAATCACTGTACTTAGATAGCAAAAAAAAAGGAAGACATCAGAGAGCCCCTCTTGCTCACATTTTATCATCACTCAGTAATTCATTCAGCAGCTTCAATAGTTGAGACTTTATTAAGGGTCTAACTATCATCTACTTCACTTATCCTTGTCTATCATCAATATACTTTGCTCCAAGCACTCCCTGAGCTCAGTGCAGCTTAGGACATTGAATTAAGTTGTCATCCATCCTTCTGTAGGCTGACAGCAGTCTACCCTATTGCATTCTCTCACATTCCTGCTCCTTCTTCATCAGGAGCACCCCCAACCCTCAGCACTCATCTTTGAGTGTTGTAGCTTGCAAAAACCCTCCCAAAGAACAGGTTCTACCATCTAGGTACTGCATAGGCACACCACCACTTGCTCTTTTTGTCTTTTGTGTTGGTTTTGGTTGGTTTTCACCACTGAACCACACTTTGACTCACAATGTACAGAATGTGAACTAAACATAAAATTCATGCTAAGACTACACACCTTTGAAGCATTTATTGGGTATAGGAGGGTTATCATGCTCCTTACCTCTTCACAAAGGCATTTAGAAGACATAATTGCCAAAGACATAACATCCATATTGTTCTCCTGACTCAGACGCATGCTTGAATTAAGCACTTTGTGCTGGGCGATGATCTGCTGGAATGCATTCATCATCTCTGGTGGTTTCTCATATGGCATGCTGGCCAAGAAATGATCAAAAAAGGGAGATAACATCAGAGAACTGCACTGCAGCAGGGACCGCCCAAGCAATACACACCACTCATTAGCCAGAGGGATTGGATCTTGAAAGTATTGCGAGACCTCGGAATCCAGCCTTGATTCAGATGGGTCATTAAGGAATGTGAACTTGGTGCATCTGGCAATTTTAAAATCTTCAGCCACCTTTTCACTCCACAAGCCAAGAAGTGTCTTTTCATGGCTGATATCTTGACACTCATGGCCAAGTGGCCCATCATAAAGGATGAGGATCCAGATGAAAACATAGAACAGGCATTTGATATCATCCACAAATGTATGGTGTATAGTAGTAGGGTGATTGATGAATTCACAGGTGAGAGAGGTGCAATTCTGGATCAATGAGACATTAGTCTTTCCACTTTTAGTGATGGCTTCCTTGAGTTGGCAAAGGATATTCACTGAAAGGAAGGGGACTGT